TTCCTCACCCTCATTCCCAAGACAGACCATCCTAAAACATTTGGTGACTTCAGGCCTATCTCTCTCTCCACATTCATGAGCAAAATCAACACCAAAATGTTGGCAAATAGGCTCAAGAAGCTGCTCCCTAAAATCATTTCTGATGAACAAGCTGCTTTCCAGAAAGGAAAAGCCATTGAGGACCACATTCTCATGGCCAAGGAGGCAATTCACCAACTGGATAAGAAAGTTTTTGGGGGCAATATCATCTCAAGATTGATATGGCAAAAGCTTTTGATAGGATAGACTGGTCCTACCTGGAATCCATTCTTAAAGGCTTTGGCTTTTCTTCTCTCTCGGTTAAACTTTGCTTGGCAAATTTGAAGTCCACATTTATTTCCATTCTCCTTAATGGAGAACCAACAGATTTTTTTCCAATGACTAGGGGAGTAAAGCAAGGTGACCCCTTGTCCCCTCTTCTCTTCATCATTGGAGGTGAAGGTTTATCCAGATTTCTAAACCACCATTTAAATACAGGCTTTATTAAAAGATACAATATGGGATCCCTCAAATGGGTGGGACACTTGGTTTATGCTGATGACCTCATGATTTTCACCAAAGGAGAAACAAGGAACCTACTTAAGATGAAGACTTTGCTGTTGGAATACCTCAGAGCCTCTGGACAGCAAATAAACTTCACTAAAAGCAGGTTCTACTCCTCCAAAACCACTTCTAAAGAACAGCTCTCTCACATGGAGAAGATCTTGGGAATGAAGGCTGGCTCCCTTCCTTTCACCTACCTGGGTGGAACTATCTGCAGGGGCATCCTTAGGAAAGAGCATTGCAACAACCTCCTGGAGCACTTTGATAAACACATCTCCTCATGGTACAGTAAAGTTCTTAATCAAATGGGGCGCCTGATCCTCATCAAACATGTTTTATCCTCCATCCCCTTACACATTTTGCTGTCCACACCTTACCCAAATCGATTCATGCTAAACTCAACTCTCAAATGGCAAACTTTTACTGGGGACAGAAGGATGGCTGGCCTAAGTACCACTGGGTTAAATGGTCACACATCTGTATTCCTAAGGAAGCTGGGGGCCTAGGAATCAGAAATCTGGCTACCCTGGAGGAGGCGTATGGAGCAAAACTGTGGTGGAGAGTTCATAATGATTCCGGTCTTTGGGCTTCTTTTATGAGAGCTAAATATCTTAAGCAGGGCTGTGTTAGAGAAAAGTTAACAGATTCACCCACGTGGAAAAGGATTTGTAGAGTCCATGATTTCTGCACTCTTTTTGCCAAGGGTGAAGTAGGCTCTATGTCTTGGAACAATGGGCTTTTCTCTCTAAAGCAGGCCTACTCCCTTAGAGAGGATGGTCACAGTAGCCTCTTCTCAACCAGATTTGTTTAGAACAAGACCCAGATACCAAAGTTGAGGACTTTCATTTGGAAATGTCAAGCAGGTTGTCTACCATTTCCCAACAATCTCCAATGATTTAACCTCATGCTCCCAAGTATTTGCCCTTTCTGTGCACAACATGAGGACAATATGGACCACACTCTTCTAAACTGCTACTTTAGCAAAAATATTTGGGACTACTTCAATCATCTGGCAGCTGGACCTTGGATTGCAACTCCACTCACCTTTAAGCAAAACCTCCTTTTGTGGTGGATCTCAGGCAACACAAAAAGCTTCAAGGGGTGTGTTAGGCTTATCATGCCAGGGATCATTTCTTGGTGCCTTTGGAAAGCTAGGAATGTATACATCTA